GTTATCAGGAAAATGTTGCTGCCTATCGCTTGTTTGTCGTGTCGACGCCTAAAAAAATACTATATAAAACTCTTTTTCGGATTTTCCTGAGAATCGATGTAGTTCATGATCTTGCCTTAAGCTAATCGGCGGTGAAGAAAAACCCTGCAATTAGGAGTGGATTTTTTCTTTTAAAACTTTGCTGTAATCTTTTCAATTAAAAATATAACCACCAAAAACGGTTAACAATTGGCGAAGATATTGCGTTACATACAAATAAAACATATAGTCCTAAAGAACCTTCCCTTTTTTCGAGATGCAACAAATGTCTTCTGTTCTGTGGATGTCTTCGTTCATCAGGTGTTAGACTGCAGTCAAGCAATCGCATCAGTATGTCAATAAATATAACTTTTAAAGGAATGACATGAACTAAGCTAGATGGTAAATATGACTCTAAAACTTTTGTACAGGCATACACTAAGTTCAATCACCTTCCCAAAATGATATTCCTGTCAAATCCGTTTCAAGCAATGTAAGGTTAACTCATGTTGAAAAAGAACCTGACATGTAATACCTACATATAAAATCTACAAATATTTTGATATTCCATGATAATAAATAATAAAAGTAATAGAGAAATATCAAAACAAAAATAATTGAGACACTTATTGGATTTAATTACAGTTTTGAGTAGGTATGTCATCTACGAAATCGCATACTACTCAGTCATAATATAATGTCAAAAACCTACGTATTATTTTAATATATACATGATATGATATGATATTCCTGTCAAATCCGTTTCAAGCAATGTAAAGTTAACTCATGTTGAAAAAGAACCTGACATGTAATACCTACATATAAAATCTACAAATATTTTGATATTCCATGATAATAAATAATAAAAGTAATAGAGAAATATCAAAACAAAAATAATTGAGACACTTATTGGATTTAATTACAGTTTTGAGTAGGTATGTCATCTACGAAATTGCATACTACTCAGTCATAATATAATGTCAAAAACCTACGTATTATTTTAGAATAATACAGTGAGCACAATCAAAAATAAAGTATAGTCATTTATTAGTTATTTCGTTATATTCTATATTGTTATTTTACTTCCAATGAACGCTTCTCAGATCTGGTTCTTATTTCCATTAAAGGTGTCGTAAATAAATTTAAATGCAAATTGTATTTAAAAAATAATACCAACTATAAAATTTTATTACATCGTCGTTTAATCGTTGTGCAGAGTCGAAACAAATAAGTTTATTCCGATTTCAAGGGGATAGCCGATACAAATTACGTTTATGGACGCATAGTCCCGATAGCGATAACAGCGGGCAACCTGTTCGGAATGGTTCAAATAAATAACATAACCTGTTTAGATAAATTCTATCTGTAAATATGGAACGATACATACATATTATAGGTAGTATATTTTGCGCTAACTTATCGTTCGGCAGAAATAGAATGAATAGTACTTCTATAGGAACTCATTTGGGAACATATTTAATCTTTGATGAACCTAAGTAGAATAATTCTTAAATTATTTATCTTAAAAATTTGTAAATTACTTAGTTGCCATGGAAAACTTGAAAAAATGAGTTAACCAAGAATGCGCGTAAGTAGCGCTCGCTGTAAATTTCACATTACGCGAGCAACCCTGGTTCGATACCCTCGGCACCAATAAAATTGTTAATTGCAATCTTAAGTGCTAATTTACCACGTGCTTGGCGATAAAAGAAAACACCGTGAGGAAGCTTGCATGTCTTAGAAATAAGAAAAAAACATATTTGGAAGACGTATAATTCGCCAACACACGGCAGCGCGGCGTACATTTCCTTGCCCTAAAACCCTGTCAGAAAATGAGGGGAAGCCTGTGTCCAGCAGTAGTACGTATATGGGCTGTAACCTTAACCTAAACCTAAGTAAAAAGAAACAAATATTAAAGACACAAAAATTACAAAATTATAAATAGATTACGACGATAAAATACATATGTGATTAAATATGAAAGAAATTAAGTCAACAAGAGCTCAAACAGAAGAAAAAAAATGTCAGCAAGAAAGACCGTTCACATACAATTTTTTAGTTCATCTTCCAAGTCCATAATAGTTTTTGTGGGACTTTAGGAATACAACTTTCTTTATATTCTCTATTATACAGCCACCTATTTTATATGTTTATAGTATTTTTAATAAAATAAGTGTGACAAAAGAACACAGAGTCTACCTGACGGTAAAGTCTTAGACTAAGAATCAAAATGCGGATGTGTTGTCAACCCTGACGACTAAGATGAAATGCCTTGTTTCAAGTAAAAAGGCTCTACGCTTCTCTAGACTCACCATACGAAACACAGCAGCATTTAGATGCTATTTCCAGCTGATATACTGTGAGAGCGTGGCCCTTCCCTGTTTGTGTCGATCCATTCGATCTACAACCATAATATAGCTGCAACCTGGCTCTACCACGTTTAAATATAATTTGAGACCTATTTTATAAGCTATGAGTGATACTGAGCTATTGTGATTAAGATCAGTATGCATTGCTGATGTCATTTTAATAACAGTAAGAGTTAACTGACGAGCACACAAACCACCTGATGGTAAGTGGATACTGTAGCCCATTGATATCATCTTTCCTCGACTTGCTCTGAAGTGGCGGCGTAAGTATACCCCATCCGATCCAATCATCCCGTGTCAGAAAAGGCGAAAGAGGGAAACAAATCAGGAGATGGGCAACAGCGTCTTCCTAATAACGATTAAAATGAAAAATAAAAACTGTGGTTGTCAAACGTGGCAACTAAGGCAAATATCCTTCCCCCCCCCCACTCTATGAGGCTATCTATGGAGCCTATGTTCAGCATTGGACTTTAATAGACTGTGACGGTAATGGTAACGGCGGTGTTAGAATATCCACTAACTCATCATCTCATCAATCATTCCGTGAATGTCGTAAGATGCGACATTGAGAAGTAAAAGGAGATGGACAGCAACAGCTTCCTAATGAAATTATTAAAGCAAATAAAAAGAAGAAGTAATTTAGGAGACGCATATGTGTATAGTATAATTATATCAGCAGTGGGCTTTGATAATTAATAAAAAATCTTCAATTAACAGTTAAGTTACAGGTGCATTGTCAGTCCCAGGACGGTGGAATATCTTGCTACTCTTACATAGGATCTCAGTTTCTATAATGAATCTCTGATTCTCATCATTAACAATGCGAAAAACGGAAGTATTATGCTACTATAAGTCGTTCCCTGATCGAGCAGATCCCTTAAAGTTGCAACCATAATACGCTGCAGCGTGACTCTACCACGGTTATTTATGCCACAAAAGAGTTTAAGGTGTTGATATGAAATGAATTGCTTGTTTTATATACTTAGCAGAAATCTCTTCATTGATTTTGAAAAATCGAGTTTTCTAGGTTTTTTTTTAATTATAAATTAAGTGACAAACGAACTTATAGTTCACCCGATATTAAGTAGCCAACTTCAAACTAAGAAGGCTACAGATGAGTTGTCACCTCTGGAGATTAAGATGGAATGCCTCACAGCCTTTTATAACACTGGCTCTTTGAACCACTGCACGTACCGAAATAGGTAAGAGGGTAATAACTAACCTAACCAAACGGAATCCTTGTTAGATATTTTAAAATTTAAAATTTTTGTACAGCCGACTTCAATATAATTTATTAAGAATAACTCAAATAACTCAAAAACTACTGACTGATCAAATTCATATGGGACGAGAAGTACCAGCTTTCAAATAAAAAATGAATCATCGAAATCGGTTCATCCAGTAAAAAGTTATGAGGTTACACACATGAAAAAAACATACAGTCGAATTGAGTACCGTCTCCTTTTTGGAAGTCGGCAGAAAAGGAGTTCTAACACCTATTATCATTGTTGAACGAAAGTGAAAACGTAGGGTACATAACCATTAAGATATATAGAAATACATATATAAATATCAACATATTATGTTCCTTTATTTATGTACGTTATTTATATATACAAATAGAAGGGCAAACATATCATGCATAAATCTAAACCACTGTATCACGGCGGTTGCGGTTCGTTAGCAACGTCAGGCAATAAATGGTCGAGTTAATGAAATATATTCGAGTTGTACCTCAACGACGATATTTTGCAAATTATGGCAGCCTATGTTTCTATAGAATGGACCACAATATTCTATAATATACTTAGCCATTTTATATACATGTGTATATTCTGTATATTTTTAATGGAAAAAAGGCCAAATACGTAGCTGCAGTTTAACTTTTTTCATAACTTCTAGTTCGGCTGGCGTAGGTTGATCCACTCTTTTACCTATTACTGCTGTTTAGAATACATAGGTATTACATTGTAAGCTACCCATTATAATGACAGCTTGTGAGGCATTCGCCGCTAATGGTTAAAAAAAGATAAGTCTTACGTAATAATAGTGGTCAATATCACTGTATATAATATAATTTTAAATAAACATAAGAAATAATGAGATAAAAATTTCTAGCAATTTTCTTTTCGTTTAAACCGACTTTAAATTACAAGATTTTTATGAATCTAAAATGTTGATAATGCGGCGGATAAAAATAAACTATTAGCTGTTACTGCTTTTATGTTCAGTGTCTTTTTTTAAATAAGGTAATAGTTGTTTTTTTTTAGTTTCAGCCAGTGCTTGATTTAAAATCCCACCTGGTAATAATAAGTGGTGATGAAGCCCTAGATGATAAATCAGACTTTAATTTTGTGACGCATTTAAGTCGAAGTTGAACATGAAGCGCCCGTCGACGGCCTAACGAGTAGCTTTCGTGTGATTGATTGAGAGACAAATGAAAATGAACGTAATGAATATAGCACTGCATTGTACGTGAGCCTGAAAATTTGCGATAACTGCGATCGTTAATAACAAATTAACATCGGGTAAAAAAAGGTATTTACCATTACACTGTAATGATTCCATTAGGAGAACTTATTTAAAAAATGTATAGAAATTTTGTAGCCTCACCTTTTGCAAGCATGTCGCTCTACATTGTGCTACACGCAAAGGAGATGAAACTTCCTCTTCAGCGAGCACTCCAATCCATGATATTACAACAGGCAACAAAGAAAAACTATATAATAACATTTTGGCACTCATATTCTTTGGTACTCCTAGGTATATAGTCAATTTTTAATTATTATTTTGTCTATCATAACCGACACTTAAATCCTGTTTGTGCAATATTTGTCATAATAACGTTTTCAAAATGTTAAAAACAGAAACTTTTAAAATTTTGTCCTTGAGCTTTTCTTATGACATTCATTATAATTTTTTAATGTTTTCTTTTATTACTTTAAGAAAACTTTGTTTAGGTCTCGAGCGATAAGGTTTAAGAGAAGGTAAAATATTAACGTAAAGTAGCTAAAATATAATATGTACTACGATGTCGCACAAGAAAAATGTTTTCACAACTTCAATCGCTCCTTTAAAGGTTCGCGGAGAGCCGACGCTAACTCTAGCGCGGTCGAATGCGGACTAGCCACCCCGCCTGAAGAAGCTCAGTTCCTCTCCCCTCTGATGGTTAATTTTGTACCTCTCTCACTCGCACACGAGGGTTACCCTCCTCTCCTTCGCTCTCAGAACAAAATGTACGTCCATGGCTACTACTACATATACAGTTCTCTCTGTCGTCTCTACTAGTGCATATATTTTATTCTATCTCGTTTCATCTCGGGTGGTTTTACGTTGTTTTTCCTTGATGCAGTTTAACGGATGGGAATGTAGTGGTTATTGTTAGACAAAGACGGTCGTAGTAGAAATTTTAGGGTTGTTCAAAAGGGGTGACAAAGAATCGGGCTAATTCAGGGCTTGCGTTTTTATGGGGGCTTGAGTGGTAAAAAGTATCCCGCCTCTCTCGTTTGTTCAAGTTTATGGTTCTCGCATTATGAAACCATATTAATAATGTTAATAGCTGATACATCAATTCAATTCAAATATTTTATCATTAAAATATAAATGATTTTTTTGTTTGACAGATTTACACTTTATAAGATTACTTGCGCATTACTTCTCTACTATACATTTGCCACTTGCGCATGTCTTTCGTGAAATGCGTTACTTGTAGCTTTGGAACATTATTTTGCAAGATGCAAAGGCTTGTTCACAAAACCCTCGCAGCAAAAAGATTAAATAAGAATACAGTGTACGTGACAGCGCACAGGCCTTTCTAAGTAAAGGCATTTTTCGTTTTCTTTCTTCAGCGAGTCTAGGCCCGTTCTATTCATCCCGCTGTCTTTAATCTCCAGTCTCTTTCCAGACTTTGTCTAGACGAGTCCGCAATCGTGAGTCGAATGCACACAATTTCGATACAACCACGGATTTCTGTTTTCAATGAAATTTAACAAGAATAAAGTTAAAACATAAATCCAACTGCAACAAAGAACTCGGTTTTATTTTTTTAACTTGGTAGAGCCACTTTGCAGCTTTATTATGTTTTCATTTTCAGACCGAGTGTCTAGGCGCTTAACTACTTAAATACTACTGTTTTGTATGGTGAGACTAGAGAACGACAGATATTTTTATACTGGAACCGCCAGAGTAGAGCGCTTAGTGTATATTGTCGTAACGCCGGGAGGATGCTAAACTGTATAATGATCAGAAGGCCGCAGACTCAATTTCCTATCAAAAATATCACTTCACTGTGATGTTACCTAATGCCTAAATATACAGTTGTCGAACAAATCGTTACCGTTCACAATTTTCAAACAGGTAGTGTGGTAGTGGTAGGAATAAGAAATGCCAAAAAGTGCTCTTCCTAAATATTGCATGCTAGGCAATTTCTAAACACATGATTGTAGAAGTTGGAGCTCCTCCCCAAGAAGCAATACAGTACAAAGATCAGTGATTTTCAAAATGTAAAGTAAATTTGTTTCTTAAGTATAAGTTCTGCAATATGTTGAAGTAAAGATTTTATTTAATTTGCGAAATATTTAAAGTGTGTATCTAAAATTACCACCAAGTACTTTATTTCATCAGTACCTACGCTAAAATTTAGAATAGGAAAGTTTATTTTTGTCTATAATATTGCAACGGGGAGCTCTTAAATGAAGGTTATTTAAGAGTCCATTCAATTTCCGGATAGAAAAAAGAACGTATTTTTTTAAAAATTGGCATTAAGTGTTAAAATGAGCTCAGTTCAACACAATTCATGTTTTCATTACCTATATTGTGTGTGGTAGCGAAATGACTTCAGAGCCTAGCAACAAATCGAAGATGTGAGGTCTCTCGTTCTGAGATCGCGAATTCTCCTGCCTAGGCGGTGATTATGGCCCATCATTCGTACAAGGGAAAAGGCAAATATCCAATTAAAAAGAGAGCAACTGCTACGGGCTGATAAACGTATATTTTCTACTCATTTCAAAAAGAAGACGGTACTCAGTTCGAACGTATGGTTTTATGTGTCTTACCTCATCAATTTTTTCTGGGTGAACCGATTTCGATGATTTTTTTATCTTGATTTGACTCTTGACTTCATATGATGATTATTTGAAAGCGTAAGACGAAAGTGATGGTTTTTGAAAGAGAAGAAAGTAAAACTTTATGTGAAATAAGAATAGAAGGGGAGTTGATTGAGCAAGTGGATGAATTTGTATATTTGGGATGTTTATTTAGCAGGGATGGTAGATATGATAAGGATATAGAACGACGAGTGAACGCAGGAAATAGTGTGAAGGCTCTACATGCTATTATGAGGAGTCAGAATGTGTCAACTAAGGCACGTATGGCAATTCATAATGCTGTGTTAGTCCCTACTTTAATGTATGGTAGTGAAAGTTGGGTCTGGCAGAAGAAACATGAGAGTAGAATAAATGCTGTAAAAATGCGTTCCTTAAGGAGTGTGCTAGGGCTGAATCTGAATGACTACGTCGTGGCCCCCGGCCACCGTAGGCGCGGGCCTGTGGACGGCGAGCAATGGGTAGCTCGCCGTCCGTCCGTCTAACGACGACAGGCCGTGTCGACGGCGCGTTTTGTTCCACGCGCGCCTCAAAGAGCTGTCAGCAGCGTGAAGGGGCCCGCAAGGGCCGACGCCTGCCGGGGCTGCGGGCTGTTCGAAAGAGATACCGCGGCTCCGGAACGTAAGGGCACTGAAGGAACACGGATGGTTTTTAGTCAGTAAAAGTCTGACACTCCCTTCCGCTCCACCCAGAGCGAAAGGCGTCATTTGATGATTTTCCATCCGCAAAAAAAAAAAAAAAGGGTGAGAAATAGTGTGATAAGAGAAAAGTGTGGTTTGCAAGATGACGTTGTGACAAGGATTAAGAAAGGAATGCTTCGGTGGTTTGGTCATGTATAAAGAATGAACGAGGAAAGAGTGACAAAGCAAATTTATGTTGCAGAAGTGAACGGCAGGGTCGGGAAGGGACGCCCTAGACGAAGGTTTATCGACCAAATCGGCGATACATTAAAAATGGGCCAAATTAGGAGTACCCTTAACCGACGAGTGTGTATGCGTAGATATATGGATGTAAAAGAGGCGAGAGAGGTGTGTCAGGATCGCGCCAAATGGAAGGCCGTAGTCTCTGCCTACCCCTCTGGGTGACAGGCGTGAGTGTTTATGTATGTATGTATGTATTTATTTGAAAGCTGGTGCTTCTCATGTGGTCCCATATAATTGATCAAGGTCTGACCAATAGTTTTTGAGTTATTCTTAATAATTTATATTGACGTCGGTTGGACAACATTTTTAATTTTTAATTATAAATATAATATTTAAATCAACATTATTGAATTAAAAAGAGATGAAAAATTTTTCGAAAAAAAAAACGATTTAAACAAGCTTAAACAGATTTATTTCTTTTTAAAAGTTCTTAAATCTCTTTTTAAAGTAATTTATTGCAAAATGTTCATCTCTAAAATTTCGAATGAAAGTACAATCATAAAGGGAAATTGAGGAATAAACCCTTATTTTTTGGCATCATTCTTTTGCAACTCTATCTCGAGTTATATTGTTGACAAACGTGATCCGTCTGTTGGCAGTTAATGGCAAACCGATGACAGGCATCTCAGTGTAGACAATGCTGAAGGGTTCGCTGCGGTCTCATAAAATGAGTTCAATATTGAAAGGTCAAGGTCCGTGAAAGGTCATTTAAAACCAACCGATCAATGAATGATACACAATATGAAACGTTCAGAAATAATAATTATTTGTTCCAAATATGAACAAAATAAATTATAACAGCGCATGTTAAATCCTTTTGAAAGATTTTACGACATTAATTATCTGCTAATAACATTCGAACAACTACAAGTCTTTAATATGTAATGTTAGAATTTAAGAAATATCTAACTATATGTTATTGAAAAATTATTTGATCAAAAACACTGTTACTTAAATATAGTCAACATTCTAGCATTTTAAATACTTCACCTTAATATTTCTCTGTGTTAAAAAATTGTTAAGGTGCTTTAAACTGGTCATAAAATTTAAAAATATCATCCGATACCCACGATATTATGCAAATTTTTCCTAATACATATTTAAATTTCTAAAAGTTTAAATAATAAGATAGACATTTGTTGTAATACATATGCTTCGATCTTTAATCATTTGAATAAATATTGACATAAAACATTTAACTTAATTGTAATGTTGTCAATAAAACGCAAATATATTTTTTCCTATGGTAATTTACATCTTTTTAAATGTGGTTAAGGTTTAATAACTTTATTTCTAAAAAATATTGTTGCGAAATATCTTTGTTTTTGCCTTATATATGTTTAGTTGTCAAGTGATTGAACCTATTGTATGTTCTGGTTATAGAGTTTTAGATAAAATATATTAAAAACACGTGACATATAGGTACCTATTACCACTATCGAATATTTAGAGCGATTTCTCGAAATGATACAACCCACAAAATGGCCAAATTAATTACCTTTTTTTTAGTTTATTGCCAACTATGAAATAGTTCTAAAAATCTACAATTAGTTTTTTTTCAAAATGATATACATAACATGCCATAATCGGTTTCTGCCACTAGAAAAATGCATTTATCTTACAAATTTGAATATCTATAATATATTTTTGTGGGTTAAAACATTTCTGTAAACCATACTGTACTCGTATTTGGCAAATGGCACAACCTTGTCGTAACAAA